TGTAGACAATGAGAGTGATGATGATGAGGAGGAAGCAGATGCATCCAAGTAAGATTCAAGTGTTTTTTAAAAGTATTCAATGGTTTACTGGGTTTATGGTTTTATGAATTTATTGGTTTTTATTTATCTTAAGATTAAGATTTAAGATAAGAAAACATTTGAATTTAATTTGTTACTTGAAAGTTAAAAACTTTTGTTGGATTTATTTACAATAATATATGAAATGTGTTGATTTTTTTTAATTAGTTTATAATAATATTTAATTTGTATGTGGGTATCCATATAACCAACGGATTTTATATTATTGAAATTTGGATATTGAAATTTGGATATGTAAATTCAACTCATATAATAAATGGGTTGAATCGAGTTTGGATCTGGGTTTGGATCGAGTTACCTATTTTAACACCTTTGGAATTAAGACAGAGCCACTCCAATCTCTCCGACGTCCGGCGCGTCTTTGCCGGCGTCGTGAGACTCTTTGTATATAAAATCTTGTTTTCTCTCTAGCTTTCCAATGAACCTTGCGGTGTTGATTGACGCGACCATTGATTTTCGGTTTCGTTGACGGTGTGTGGAGCTCCGATCTGCTTTTCTCGGTGGCTCATCCTTGGCATCTCCATGCTCGGCTGAGGTTCTCGGAGGTCTCCAGGCCATTCCTTCCTCCTGCCTTCTCTTTCGTTGGTGTTTGAGTTGTCGGTCCGCGAAGAGGTCGTGTTCGGAGAGAGGTTTTGGTGAATAACGGGACTGGTGCGGGGTGACGATGATGTGGTGGATCTGGTGGGCTAAGGGGTTAGTTAGGTCTCTGTCTATGTCGTCGTTCTTGATTTCGTATGGTCTTGTCAATCTTCGTTAGGGTATTGGTTTATTTTGAACATTGTGTCCTCCGGAATCGGCCTATCCATTTAGCTCTTATCCTCTGATTTGGTTTGTGGATTTGTCAGTGAAGATGGCTTGAAGTTGATTTGGTATATGGGTGTCTTCTTAGTGGTGAGGTTGATGGTGTTCTTTAGATTCAGTATAACCGCCCTTTAGCGATGTGTCCCTTCTCCGTATTTCTGAATAAGTCTTCTTGCTGGGTTGCGATTCAACAGCTTTCCCTCGACGATATTGGGTTGAAGATCGTCCCGCAATGAAGAATCGGAGTTGTTGGATTCTCGCCTTCCTTTCCATGGTCATCCTTCCTTGTGTTTAGTCCTTCTTTGTGGCAATCCAAGTGGTTCTTTGTTTCTCATCAGTTTGGTCTCGGGGCTGAAGTGGACTATCCGACTTTTGAGGTTTTACTTTGTTCAAAATGTGCCTTTTGTGTTTTAGTTTTTTGGTTTTGATACCGATGCCGTTTCTGTTGACATCAGCTTTCTGCGCCCCGGTATACAATGAGCCTTTTGATCACCGTAAAACATTCGGTCTTCTTTTTGTTTTATCGGTTGTAAGTTTGGCTTGTTTTCTAATATATAATCGTTTAGTGAAAAAAAAAAAAGAATTAATCCTAGTGCTGGCGGTTTGAAGCGTACCAATCAAAAAGTCTTTGTTTTTACCTTTTACTGAACACAATGAACCGTTAAAAATTTATTCTGCTTGCTCAATCCATCAGTAATAACAGTCTTTCGAGAAAAGAAGAGAAGGAAAGGTTCGATACTGGGAGCGAAGAGAAATGAAAGCGATCGTGATCTCGGAGCCAGGAAAGCCTGAGGTTCTGCAACTGCGAGAAGTCGATGACCCACAAGTGAAAGACGACGAAGTTCTGATCAGGGTTCACGCCACTGCTCTGAATAGCTCCGATACTCTCCAAAGACTCGGCCTTTACAATCCACCACCTGGCTCAAGCCCTTACCTTGGTCTCGAGTGTTCTGGAACCATCGAATTCATCGGCAACACTGTCGTCTGTCGTTGGAAAGTCGGAGATCAGGTAGAGATATAGCTGGGATTGGGGGGGGGGGGGGAATTCGTCTTTAGGGCTATATCATACTCAATTTGGGGTTTGGTGTCTCTTGTGTGAATCTATGAGCTCGACTTAATTACTGGTGTGGAATATGCTGCTTACTGCTCACACTCATGTTCTTGCTGATTCAGGATTCAGTGACTAGAACATTGGAGAGGTTTCTTTCGTAGTTGCAATTCGTTGTGATCCGTTTTTATTTGTTGAAGCTTGTTATAGTTTTTGTGTTGGATTGGCTTCAGTTTACACTTTAGGCTTAAGCGAGTAAATTACTTTTGAAGTATAAAGTTGCTGTCTTGGATTAAACTTCTGGCTCTCTTTATTTGTCTCAGGTGTGTGCTCTTCTTTCTGGAGGAGGTTACGCGGAGAAAGTTGCTGTTCCCGCTGGTCAAATTTTCCCAATCCCTGCCGGTATCTCTCTAAAAGATGCAGCGGCTTTCCCTGAAGTGGCATGTACAGTTTGGTCAACTGTCTTCATGAAGGGCCGTCTTTCCGCTGGTGAATCATTCTTGGTATTTCACTTCTCCTTTTGCTATGTATAAGATTGTTTCTACGGTTTGTTAGGAACCAATTCTTTTTATGGCCAATACTGGAGGAGAGTTCATCTAATACTCAGCTTTGCCTTTGTCTTCTCTCTTCTTGTTTATCTCCTTGCTGATGTTGATAGTTTCTGAGATTTTAGGTTCATGGAGGTTCTAGTGGGATTGGTACATTTGCAATTCAGATCGCTAAACATCTAGGAGTGAGAGTATTTGTCACTGCAGGTTTGGTCTAACCTTCAATTTATCGATAACCTCCAGCTTCTCTTTTTGATTGACAATGTTCCAGTTTCCTTTTAACTAACAGGGAATGAGGAAAAGCTAGCTGCTTGCAAAGAACTCAGGGCTGATGTTTGTATAAATTACAAAACCGAGGACTTTGTCGCAAAAGTAAAAGCTGAAACCGATGGGAAAGGTGTGGATGTTATCTTGGACTGCATCGGGGCGTCGTATTTGCAGAAAAACCTCGACAGCTTAAACTTCGATGGAAGGTTATGTATTATCGGTTTTATGGGAGGAGACGTTGCAGAAATAAAACTAAGTAGCCTACTTCCAAAGCGTCTCACCGTCTTAGGTACCAATCAATTAATCATATATCAAAACCCAAATTGAGCCATATTTGAGAAATCTTGATCTGTTTTGTTCCTACAGGAGCTGCGTTAAGACCAAGAAGCAAGGAAAACAAAGCAGTTGTTGTAGCGGAAGTCCAGAAGAACGTTTGGCCAGCGATAGAAGCAGGGAAGGTAAAACCAGTGATCTACAAGTACTTACCATTGTCAGAAGCGGCAGAAGCTCATAGTCTTATGGAGAGTAGTAACCATATTGGTAAAATTCTGCTTGTGACTTGATTCTCTCTGCACAAGAAGAAATGGTACATACAAGGAGTCATGGTTAACAATAATAAAAAGCTGGTGGATTGTGTTCATATATGTATGTACAAGAGTTTGTTCATTGGCTTATGTATCTCTGTCTTGGTCAAAGAGACTCTGTAACTATGCAACATACTTTATAAGATCAAATACAAAATGTTACTTCTTCAAAAATTCAATTTTGTATACTCAAAACTATAATTTTCCAGATTAAAAACGATAATTAACAAGAAATTTGTTTGCCTTAAGGAGTCGAGAAAATCAATTTTGAAAATGAGGCAAAGACCAAGATCAAGGCTTTGTGTGAAGGTATCTCTTTGAAACTTTGACTTCCCCAAATTCATCACCGAAGAATAGAAATTCTCTTTCTAATTTCGTAAAATCGAACACAATCTTCCATTTAACAAAAGTGGGTTTGAAAAAAATCGAAACTTTGAAACTGTTTCATAATGGGTTTATCGCTGCGACTGTTGTTTGCGAGAGTATTCGTGCTTACACAGCTCATCCATGGAGCTTTGTGTTGGGGTAAAGAAGGTCACTACGCCGTTTGCAAAATCGCCGAGGTCAAATTCGAAACGATTTTTCTTAATTTGATTCTGAGCTTGAACCCTACTGAAATCACTGTGATTTATAAAAAAAAAAAATGAGAACTTTATTGCCAAATTTTGATGTTTGTGTATGCTTGAAGATCAGTTTAGCTCTAAGAGATTACTGTTATGGTGAAAAAAATTTGGGATTCGACAGGTTTAGTACCCTTTGTGTGATCTCTGATAAATGCCATTTAAAATCCTCAGGGATACTTTGAGGAAGAAACTGTAGCTGCAGTGAAGAAACTTTTACCTGAATCTGCTGAAGGAGATTTAGCATCTGTTTGTTCATGGCCTGATGAAATCAAGCACCATTGGCAATGGCGATGGACTAGTCCTTTGCACTATGTTGATACACCTGATTACAGATGCAACTACGAGTATTGTCGTCGGTTTTCTTCTTTCATTTCCAACTTTTTACAATGTTTTCGATAATATAGATCGGAAGACCAATCTGTATGTTCTGTATTTGTGAAGGGGATTGCCACGATACTCATAAGCATCAAGACCGGTGTGTGACAGGAGCGATTTTCAATTACACGATGCAACTTATGTCGGCTTCTAAAAACACGCGGAATATAGTTCACTGTAAGTGAGAATTTGGTGAAACCAATACTTAAGGTTCAGTTTAATTTGTATGGAGCATAGAGCCATGAGTAGTCTTTGTTTGCAGATAACTTGACAGAAGCTCTCATGTTTTTATCACATTATATTGGAGATGTCCATCAGGTAAAATCCATTTTCCATTCAAATGAATCGAATCGGAACAAGTTTTGTCTGAGTCATATGTAATCTACACAGCCCTTGCATGTGGGCTTTCTGGGAGATGAAGGCGGAAACACGATAACAGTCCGCTGGTATCGTCGCAAAACAAATTTACACCATGTAAGTATTTGTTATCACTCATATTGATGCTAAAAAATATATCTTTTAATGTGTTCTTATGATCTATTAATGATCCAAATTCTTAAAGAAAAATCTTTTCAATTACGAAGGTGTGGGATAACATGATAATTGAGTCTGCTCTTAAAACGTACTACAATAAAAGTCTACCACTCATGATTCAAGCACTGCAAACCAATCTTACGGTATGATCTCACTTTCTCTATAGAGCTCCAGTGCAAGTACGTTATATAACCAATCAACCTAACATTGATTGTTTGTTTTAATTGCTCTCTTAACATAGCACGGCTGGTCAAATGATGTTCCGGCGTGGGAGTCATGTCAACTTAACCAAACAGCCTGTCCAAATCCGTAAGCATATAAAGATATATCATTTTTTGTCAAGAATCAAGATATGCACATGATAATTACTCCTTTGCAGCAATGTTAAACGTCAGAAAATGGATAAATTAGTGTTATGCGATTTAGAAATTTGATAGAGAATTCTGGTTGAGCCACCATATCTTTTTCCTAGATCATCATTGTTGATTCAATATGGTTCTTGATGTGTTAAGGTATGCATCTGAAAGCATAAATCTGGCCTGCAAATATGCTTACAGAAACGCTACCCCAGGGACTACTTTAGGAGGTATCTTCTCTGAGCATTGAACTCAAAGTTTCCACTTTGGACAATCAGTGTCCACACTGCAACAAGATCTTAGTTTTCTTTAACCACTTGTATGAAATGTTGTGATCTTCTGCGTTCTCTCACGTTTCTTTCTGCAGATGACTATTTCCTCTCTCGGTTACCCATTGTGGAGAAGAGACTTGCACAAGGCGGAATTCGTTTGGCAGCAACTCTCAACCGGATCTTTTCTTCAAAACTGAAGCTCTCTGGATCATGAAACCGAGTAAAAGATAACCCAAAAACCATATGCCGTCACTCTCTTAGCTCCTTAGCTCATGTAGTTTTTCTTTTATAGACCATTTGTGTAATATTTGGCTAAGATCCATCCTTTAGTCTTTATGCGTTAATGTCCGTTTCAGGTTCACAAGGATGTTGTTGTATGTAAAATCCGGTTTGTTATTTCTATTGCTCTTTACTTAATAGGAATTGCCCACGCGTTGTGTGGGGT